AGAAATATATATGGCTTACACATACTAGTACATAAATTTACAATCAAATTTTACATCATTTTAGCTTTGCTATAAGACTTTATTTAGCCGCACGAATAAAAGTCGCAGAAAGTGTAATATAATCGAATGTTGCTCTATTGTTGTTATATGTTGATTATTTTAAATGCGAGCCAGTTGTGCGGTTGTGCTGGAGCCTGCAGAGACACAGAGCTCGGCGCCATGATTGCTGCCACTCTCGCGAGAGACGCTCTTYACATGGATGTGATTCTTGAGCATGGCAGCGCGMAGGATTAGCATGCGGGTGTGGCGCTGATATTGTTTGCCCATGAGGAGGGCACGTTCAAAGGTGCTGTTGCGCTGATCGGCCTCCTTGGCATACAGGATCTTGTTGTGGGAGTCGATGCGCGCCTGAATCTGCCCATCCAGTATCAGCTGCATCACCTCGTTCTCCAGATCGCCCACGGTCGAATTGAAGGCTGTGGCCATTTTGTGCATATCGGCAGACATATACGGGCTGAAGTATTGGATCAGCGCACGATTGCGTATCTTCGTGTAGAGCAGGCTGACGTGTGGAGCAATGTACATGTCTATCAGCAGATTGTCGCGAATCTCATCGAGCAACGTYAGGCAASTGGCGTACTTGCTCTCGTAGAATTTGAAAATAATATCACGCAGTTGTGGCTCCAGTTCKAGGAACAGCTTGAAAGATGTGGATGCAATCACGAGACGCTTYAGCTCCTGGCGATCGAATGTGGCCAAGGCGCAGAGTCCACCATAGACGGCAACATTRCTAGTGGAGATCATCTCTGGAAAATCGCAATGATCAAAGTTGGCAGCCAAAAAGTGTTTGGCCGCCACTTTATATTTCTTTTGCTGGAGCTCRGCCAAKCCGGCGGCGCACTCTAGACGTGTGTGCACCTGCGCATTCGCCTCCTTGGAGCCCTCGGAAAAGTCGGGTGTGCTCTCCGCCTTTGATATGTAGCTCATGACATGCGCCCAGTTCTTCAAGTAAATAGAAACCTTGATTACATTCAGGCACAT